TTCCTAAATTTTCTTAATTTTTTTTTTTTTTCGAAAAAAATCTAATTTAGCCTGTTTGCGGGCGGCCTTCATTTGGTCATCCAATTCCCCCCCTTACCCTGGGAATGGGCAATCCGGTCTGGTTTCTGCACTGTTCATCCCGTTAAACGCCCTGGATGTCTGAATCTACGGCTATTAAATTCATCGGATCATGCAGCCAGCGCCCGGTTTGGGCGTTTGGCTATAACTTCCGAAAATTTTAAAAGCCCTACAAATCGATTTGTAGGGCTTTTAAACATGAAATTGGTTGCAAAATCGAGTTACCCATTGCATATAATACATGTATGTGTTGAAATTACCTGAAAAAATCGAAGCCCAAGCCCTGAAATTGGTTGAATTCGATGTTTTTCGAAAAAAAAAAAAATTTCTGAAAATTTTGGAATGGGGTGGTTTTGGAGAGAATTTCGAATTTTAGGGGTTTTAGAGAGATAAACTGTTTTTTGCTTTGAACGGTAAATAGCAATAGTTAAACCGTAAAGAGCATTTTCTAAAAAGAAATATACCATCAATAATTACGTTGGATCCAATATATCTTATCTTATATATAAAAGAAATAAACGTTAGATTAACTTAAGAAACCCTAATAATATATTTATAAAAACACTAATTTATGTATAAATATATTTTTCTTATCTCCTATTTTGCAGTTATTTTTTTCGTAATTGTTTTAATATTAAATATGGGCTAGCACAATCATAATCTACTACATCTATAGTGTTTTTAATTATTATTATTTTGGAGCTTATTTTTTCAAATAAATAATATGCTTCATTTATTTAATGATTGACAATTAAGTTTTTATAGTTTTTTTTTTAATGAGTTTGTATTATTAAATCAGTATAACATATTGTTGTTATCGATATCACTAATAAATTTTGAGTGGTGTTATTTCTGCCTCCAAGGTATCCCAATTCACCACAACGGATTATAAAATATCATAAATACCCCTCAAATTTATAATCCACCACCCTTTCTTATATTTACTTAATCCGCATATGTTCTAAATTATTTTTATTTTATTTATTTATTTATTATTTATTATTTTATTTTTTGCAATGAAATATTTATTAGAAAATATTTAAACTTCCATACCATAGGTCCTACAATTTATGTAAAAAAAAATTAGGAAACGAAATTATATTAAGCCAATGGCCAAAATTCTGGATGAAGTTTAAGACCTTCCATACAAGCAATCTTACTTTATTTATTAAATAATGTGAATTTCTACTCTTTTGGACCTTCGAAAATGTTTTTCTCTGACAAAAGTATTATTCACTTAAGGTGGAGAAGATGAAATTTCCATTGAAAATAGTGGAGTCTTTTTTATAAATATTTTAATTAGTTTAGTGGTGCTGGTTTATAAATTTGTAAAAAAATATATAGATGAAAAGAGAAAAGGCGATAAAATAGGAAATATATTTAATTTACTGGTGAAATAAGTTATTTTGAAGGTGAAAATAACACGCCTCTAAATTTTATTATAATTATAATTATCATATATTAAATTAATCATCATTTTCATTTGAAATGATATCCCGTGCATTAACAGGGGGGAGAATGCTAGTAATGTATATATAAAATTATATATTACAAGTGGACTCAATTTCCCATACAAAAATTGGTCATCCTTGTCATTAGCACCCTCGTGCAGCTAGTTGCAGGGTCCGCCTTAGTCTTTT